ACCAAGAGACTGGACTGGACGAGTGAAGAGTTTCAAAGGTACGGGTAAAATTGGCGATGGTTTGATGCCTATTCTGCATAAATCTGCACCACAGGTGGCATTATTCTCTGCTCGCGGGCCAAACATAAAGGATTTCAGCTTCCAAGAGGCAGATCTTCTCAAACCAGATATATTAGCTCCTGGTTCATTGATTTGGGCTGCTTGGAGTCCAAATGGGACTGATGAGCCAAATTATGTTGGTGAGTAAAGGCCTGAGTAAATTGTGTCTTCTTTGTTGTTGTTACTTTAACAAATCAACCCACAATTGTACATTTCTATTTCACTACCTGGGCTTTAGCTCAAATAGGTTGGTGAGGTATGGTATTTGTAGATTTGTTCAATTCCAATGTTCTCAAAAAAGTAAATCTTTGAACTTCAGAATTTGTTCATAGGAGCAAGCACTTGGTTGAAGATATGCTGCATTACAGCTTTAAGCAGCATTTCTTTTTCTTTGGTTTGTGTGAATAATATGAGAAATCATCAATAACTAAGACAAGACAAGATAGTCAACCAGACATGAGATGTGACATCCTCCCGGGAGAAAAATGAGAACATGCACATTGTATAAAAAAACCAGTCAAACTAAATATGCTCAGACTAAGAATATAAGACTCTGATGTTTATGGTTTCCCTTTGTTTTAAGCTTATGTGTAGATAAATTTAATTTCTAGTACTTTCTGCTTTAAATTATGGGGAGATGTGTAATGGTTCCCTCATATTATTAAAAGAATTATTGCATGATTGAGAAGGGGACTGGGGAGGGAGGGAGAGGGGAAGTAGAAGAAAAACTTAGTGGTATATTATAGAATAAAGAATTGATTCTTTTTTAGCAATTTTTTGCTTGTGTAGGTGAGGGATTTGCAATGATATCAGGAACTAGCATGGCTGCACCACATATAGCTGGAATTGCTGCTCTTATAAAGCAGAAGCATCCACGTTGGAGCCCTGCTGCCATTAAATCAGCCTTGATGACAACCTCAACAACTCTAGATAGAGCAGGGAATCCTCTTTTAGCCCAGCAAACTTCTGAAACAGAAACTATGAAGCTGGTCAAAGCTACTCCCTTTGATTATGGGAGTGGACATGTTGATCCAACAGCTGCCTTGGACCCTGGACTCATCTTTGATGCAGGTTTGATTTCTTCTTCTTTATCACTAGATTTCTGAAAATAGTTGTTGTATCTTAACTATTTTCTTTGTCTTGGACTAATTTCCAATTAAACTTGAAAACAGGATTTCGAATCTAGCTTAGAATTCTAGTTAATTCATGAAATTTCTTTGAACTCAGTATTGGCTCGTTGGTGATATGAAAAGATTTCTACAAAAAATCCTATAAAATGAAATTTTGGCTGAAAATCATGACAACTTGAATGCTGCAGGTGAATCTTGATGAAACTAATAAAAAAAAACAGGGATAGAAATGTAATTAGAATAAGTTTTTAAATATATCTAACCAAAGCTGCAATTTTCTCTTTTCCATTTTTCTGCTTTTGTTTGAATTTAGTATTAAAACAAAAGGGTAAAACCAAAATAGTTATGGTAGTGGACTAATATTTGTAGCAATAATATTAGTAATAGTAAACTTGGTTCACCAATTTTGCTTTTCAATTTGCAGGATACATGGATTACCTAAGCTTCTTGTGCACAACACCCAACATTGATGTTCATGAGATAAGGAACTACACTCATACCCCATGTAACAATACCATGGGCAAACCATCAAATTTAAACACTCCATCTATCACAATTTCCCATCTTGTGGGAACTCAAGTTGTCACGCGCACTGTCACAAATGTTGCCGATGAAGAAACTTATGTGATCACAGCCAGAATGGAACCAGCTGTTGCCATTGAAGTCAACCCTCCTGCAATGACCATCAAAGCAGGCGCATCGCGTCAGTTTTCAGTGACACTCACGGTTCGCTCCATTACCAGAACCTATAGTTTTGGAGAGGTCTTAATGAAAGGAAGCAGAGGGCACAAGGTGAGGATTCCTGTCGTGGCCAATGGATACAGACGATAGCCTAGTTTGGTCACACCAAAGGAAAGCAATGCTTGTAATATTCTTTGTAACTTGTGGGGAATAAGGTATGGCGCTAGATTTATTAGTCTAAAAATATAACATATGATATTGAATTATGAATAGGTGTAAATGTAAGAAGGTGTAAGGGGGTCGTCACTCCTAGTTTCTTCCACTTATAAAGTTTTGCTTATCTTGTCTACTGATTTCTTGGAATGCTTCATCATAAGTTCTTACATGTATCTGCCCCATTCCCCAAAAGTTGCTTGCTTACTGCAAGTGTAATACATGAAATAATTAATATAAGGTTTCAATGCCACAACGTATATCTTACAAAAGCTATACATTCGCTAGCTATACTCACTCTCTTGTTCCACTGTTTTGCCGTCATAATTTGAAAGAAGGAAACCACGATTTTCTTTCTATACATGAAGGAACCGGTTTTTCTCGTGGGGGACCCAAGTATTAAGAGTTTATCTTTGTTTAAAGCAGTAAATCGTTGATTTAATATTGGAATTGTTATTTACTTTATTTTTCGATTTTATAAAAGTTTCCTTTGGACTTAAGTTCGTAAAATGTTTTAATAGTTCTTTTACTTTACTTCTTAATGTTAAGGACAAAAACTACACTAATAAAATGAATAAAAGTGAAAGAAAATTCTTTAAAATTTTATAGTTAAAAGTTAAAATAAGTTTTTTTATTAAGTTAAAGATTAAAGTGAATAATATTATAATTTTAAGGAATAAAGTAACTATTCCCTCTAAATAAATAAACGGTCTTGACTTCTTGCTTTTGTTTTTTTGTTTTTTTTTTATTATTATTGATGTTTGAGAAAGAATATGCAATAAATTTGGTTGGTTTTTTCTTTTTATTTTCTTAATGTACGTGCATAATATAAAATTAAATAAATTAATAATATTAAATGTCATAATTTTTTTAATAAAAATATACTATTTTAAATTTTTTAGTGTGTCTTTATATACATTGAAAAAAAAAAATTCTTTTCTTCCCATCTTTGTCCAAATCTCTTCCTAAGTTTATATTTCTAATTCTTGATACAATAATGTCACAGATAAGCCAACGTTTACTACCAGTAGTAGTGCACGCCTCTACTGCTTATAGTATATGTATGTGACGTATGGGATTCTTTTGGTGTTAATTAGCTTACTGAAAACAACAATTTAAGGAGGTTAAACATTAAAATCATAAAGACAAATTTGGTTAATGATAAGGACTTGAAAGAGTGTACTAGATGATCTATTGATCATTGACCCTATATTAATGTTCCAAAACTTTATCTAAAAAAGCTTATAAGGAGGTTATTTGAATTTATGAAAATAATTTGCTATAAAATTTTATTAGTATTTTAATTTAAACGTACTAAATCGTAAGAAAATGTTTAAAATGCATGAAAGTAATGTGACTCAATTTTAAATCACACTCCTGTGTGTGTAGGTTTTATTCTCCATGTTAACGTTCACTTCTTAAAAAAATAAAAAACTATTCATTACCATTCGTATTGAATAGCGGTGTTACTTTTAATTTATTTTCATAATCTTACACTCAAGTTTATCAAAACAGGTCATTTTTTATTTATTAAAGTATGAAAATAAGAATATAGTATATCGACATAAAAGTATAATTTTCGTGTGATAAAATCTGATTGAACTATTAGATTATACGATTAAGATATTTATTCGTTGTGTCTTCGGTTTCCATTATCTGCAAGTAGCCAAATGTCATCGACCACTAAGAAATGATTATTTTTGGGAAAGGGAGAAACGCAACCATATGTTATATATATATTATATCACTCCATTGTCCATCACATTGTCTCTCTAATGGCAGTGCTCGTTTCCTCATTCTAAGCTCCATACCAGAGTGGCAATATCCATCTAAATTAGAGTACACAGTTTTTTTCACACCTCAATTCTCAGCAATTTCTTCTTCATCAACTCTCACATGGTATGTTCTATGTTTCTCAATTGTTTCTATTTGTGTGTGTGTGTGTGAGAGAGAGAGAGAGAGAGAGATAGAGAGCATGCTTGTGTTGTGTGCACCTGATCCATATCATGCTTGTAATGTTATTGATTCAATTAATATTTATTTGAATCTTTATCAGCTTTCCTATGGCTGTTTTCCGGCACCTTAAGAGGGTGGTTTTAGTCTTGGGAAAGCTTAATGAGTGGTATTCCCACCGAGTCACACTTACACTGTATATAGACATGCTAGCTAAACATGTAATATATATAATATTATAAGGTTGGGTGTCTCCTTAAGCCACGTGAAAACGAAACGACAATAAAAAAGTTATATTGTTTGTGTCATAAATTTATATAATATTTTTTACAACGTCATATATATTTTTTCATACGCATCAATAATGTAATACTAGCTGTCCCTTTTCAAAATTCGTGTCTCTGTTTCCTTAGCTTAGCGCCAAAATTACGCAGATGCCAGCGAATTTCCCATAAAACAACATGGTCCCATTTTAAAAAAAAAATGTGTGCCTTCAGGCAAAACTGACAGCTCATTATCAGATTATGTTTCAATTTTTTCATCAATGTTGTCGAAAACCTAAGCCTAAAACCTAATTAAGTTCTATATACAATTAATTCGAATCCGAATCGTGTCAAATTTTGTGAATTTGGGTGGTTTAATAATATCTTTTAGTGGAGGTGGGATTAATTTATAAAAGGATCAATCCTCTCATATTATTTATTTTCATACACTACTAGTACCCTGGGTAGATGATTAAAATTGTACAATTCAATTTTTCTTAATAAAACAAAAGGTGTACACGATCGTTTTAATTTTACATTAATTATGCATATTTTAATAAATTTTATAAACTTTATTTTATTTATTCACACGCGCAATGCACCATTATGGTGAATGTAACGGTATAAAAATAATAGAATATGGTTGATTGTGGTGTAGGCGATGGAGGTGCCAAAAGGGAAGAATGAAACCAAAATTGTTTTGACAAAGCCCTTCTCATTGGAAGGTGAATCAGACTTAGATCCATCTTATAGAGCTCCCAATCTCCTAAGTCGCTTGTTAAGTCTACTCAAGAATGTGCGGCCGGGATCAGATCTCACAAACTTCCAGGCAAGTTCTCTCTTTCACTTGGACCTAGCTACCCTAGGGGCTTCAAATTACTTACTTAAATAAACATACTTAACCATGTTGTTGGTTTTAACTAGTCTTAGAACTTGTATGAATTATGATCGTGCTTACACTAGACTTTCAAGTGGTAATTAACCGGTGAAAGAAATAATATTGTAATATAAAGTCTGAAGCATATGTTTTATGTTTGCAAATATGAACTGTCTAATAGGAATTGGGTATAAGGGATCACATATAAAATTGAAGTAAATGTAAATTTATGGTTATTTAAACATGAATTCAACATAGATTGAAGTATTTTGGGTTTTGTACAGCTGCCACCTCTGTTCAATTTCCCCAAATCTCAACTACAATGCTATGGTGAATCAGTGTACTGCACATCTGAGAACTTGCTTAGTAAATGCAACAGTGGGGAGGGTCCAATAGACAGGTTCACATCCGTAGTAGCATGGAGCATATCTACCACGCGCCCTGCATCTTTTGGGGTTGCTCCTTATAATCCCACTCTTGGAGAGACCCACCATGTTTCTAAGGGCAATCTCAACGTACTACTGGAGCAGGTACTTGTTGCTTCTCATTTATTATATATTAGAGCTCTGCATTTTATTTAAGTGCTCAAGTTTATTCTGAACTATTTAAATAAATAAGTCAAGCTGAACCCTATCCAAGAGATGTTTAGATATACTGCCAAAATATATAGATCAACCGGTAGATGTGTTTTTAGGATAACCTATAGTCTTATTAAAAAAATATTTGTAGTCTAGACAAAAAAAAGTATATATATATATATATATAAATATATATATCAAGTGAAAAAAATCAGAATTAATTTTGTATAGTGACCTCTATTCTATCTGTGCCCCTTTTTATTATTTAGTAAACTGATACATAAATATGATGCTAAAATTTGGAGCACTTTGACCCAGTCTTTATTGAGAAGTAATGTTCTCACATTCTCATGTCTGCAGGTTTCACTCGACCCGCCAGTATCTGCTCTTCATGCAACGGATGAGAAGGAAAACATCGAAATGATATGGTGCCAGCAAACTGCTCCCAAGTTTCGTGGTATCTTGACTTTTTCTATGATAAGTAACTCAAAATACACATCAACTCATAATTATATATAAAATTCTTTTTCAACTCCAAATTAATTATCCAACTAACTAGGACCTATCTCTGAAACGTCAACAAAGAATTAAGGGGCATGTTTTTCACATCATGCATTTGTTTGCTTTCTAATCAGATGTCGATTGAGTGAAACCTGGTCGCTTTTCTCAAGGCATAGCTTGTTGTGAAAGTAGTTGCACCATCCATTCTATCAACATCTGCATTTCACAAAAATATCACAAATTTACAATATGCCCTTTAGATGATTTTCCTTATGATCATGATTGAATCCGTGCAAAACATTGGTTATAAATAATTAAACTGACTTTTTCACAATGATTGTGTTGGAGTCTCGTAGCCCTTTGCTAAGCAAATTCTATAAATTCATTATAGTATTTCAAAATAAATATTCAGGTACATCTATAGAAGCTCGAGTGCATGGTAAACGGTTGCTGAAGCTCCAAAATCATAGGGAAACATATGAAATGAATAGTCCTCACCTTTCAATTAGAATTCTTCCTGTTCCGGGTGTTGATTGGGTTGGCAATGTTACTATACGGTGTCTAGAGACAGGCCTGGAGGCTGAGTTATCCTACACATCAAGTCGTTCTTTTCTAGGAGTTGGAGGAAATCGTAAATTGATCAAAGGGAAGATCGTTGACACATCATTATTTAAAGTTCTATATGAAGTTGATGGCCATTGGGATAGGTACTATAATTAATGATAGATAAACTATTGCTTATTTCGTACATACTAGTTAATCATTCACTAGTGAGGGTGGTGAATTGATTTTTCAAGAATTGAAGTGCTGCATTGTGGTGACACATTTCTTATCAAATTAAACTATGCAGGATTGTTAAAGTAAAAGATACAAATAGTGGGGAAATCAGAGTGATATACGACGCAAAAGAGGTCATATCAGGGCTCAAAGTTCCTATTGTCAAGGATGCGAAGGTAATTAATTTCGGGCAAAGACTAAAGTAAAAGAAATTTTACTTTTATGAATAAGAAACTAAACTGAATAAAACTTGCAATCTCATAAACCAAAGTGAAATTAACTTTACTTCTCAGCCTCCATTTCTCTTGCTTGTGGTATTTAGTTATATATCACTTTTCATTTATGAACCATAAACTCTGGCATGGCCCGCAGGAGGGATAGGAAAGATGAATGTTCTTAGAAAATGGTCCCAAAGTGCAGCAGAAAATAATGTTTCTTTTTCTTAGGAATTTTCCAACTCACTTGCAAACTAGTCCCTTAACAATCATGAACCAGCAAAATGGTCGTGCGTTTTAGACGAGTTTATTTTATAAAATATTTATTTTGACAATTTAAAATAACTTACTAAGAAAAAATCATTTGAAGTGGTACAATTGAACACTTAAACTAAACAATTTGTCCGTATGTTTTTATCTAATTAAAATTAGATGGGTAGTTAACAAATGAAATTTGGGTGTTTATTGGAACTAAAAAGAAAAAAAGAAGGTTATGTTCTTGTAATTGTGTGGCATGTTTTCCTGAATGTGACATGAAAATCTCTTGTTGATCAGAGTGTGTGGACAACAGAATCAGCACATGTTTGGAGTGAGTTGAGCGAAGCCATCATGAGTAAAGAGTGGGAGAAAGCAAAAGAAGCAAAGGAACGCGTGGAGGAAAGACAGAGGAAGATACTGAGAGAAAGAGACATAAAAGGGGAAAGTTGGATTCCCAAGAATTTTATATTATATCACAGTAAAGACAGGTTAGAATGGAACTGTTCACCCATTCAAAAATTAGTCCCTCCTGCCCCCATCATAGCCCCCTAATTTATTGCTATGTACTAGTATCACATCCAATTTTAATACAAATATTTTATTATATTAAAATTAACTCAAATTAATTAAGGTAAGTTTTACTTGAATTGAGTACACAAAGACACGTTCAATTATCCATTAAAAACCTCTAGGGTGGGGTAGACCATCCATTTCCCAACCATAAGGCCTGAGTTAAAAATTATGTTCTAAATGCATTAGTTAAATAATTAAAAATAACTTTTTATTATTGAAAACTATAAAAAAATTAATATTTTTTTTAATTTTTAATGTATTTTAGTATTATTTTTTAAAAATACTATTTATTGCCTCTTTAAATAGTACTCTTTAAGTATTGGTTAGTAATATCCCTAAGTAAATTAGCAGTCTATATAAGTATTTAAATTGTTTTAAATTTTATATATTTAGTTAAGTGGATTTTTACAGGTCTTAGTACCTGTTTGTTTCTATGTTTATAATTTTTCTGACGTGGATAATGCACTTTATGAAACTCTTCTGTAGAAAGTAAAAAAAAAAATATTCGCAACTCAATGGACGTTCAAACGTGATAAAAAAATATTAATTAATTGAATGTATATATATGCGTGATGCACTATTTTTTTGTCAAGTAAGTTTAACCTTAAAATAACTACATTTTAAAAATATTTAATTGTCACAATAAAATTTCAAGAAATATTCTTTTGGTATAAGAAATTAAAGTTACATAAATGTTAATATGATACTTTTTTATAACATAAAAATATTTAGAAAATAAAATTAATTTAAGTACTGTATCATACATATTTTGTGTACTCTTATCTATTTAAAATTAATAGTTTACTTAAATAATACACAAAATATGACAATAAAAACCAACACATTATTTAAATAAAATTTAAATTGTAATTGAAAAATAGCAATAAAAATAACTATTATCCTACGTCTAAAAGATATTTTATTGTTTTTTGAAACATTAATTGATGTGTCTGGTTTTAACAAAATAAGAAAAGCGTTGGCTAAGTTCGGTGTTTGGTTTGGATTGGAGGCTGAGATCAATGGCATCGCGTGGCTCTTCCGGAGTTTCCCATTGCCATATGTTATAATTCTTAAGAATTTAATTTGTTTACATTTTTTTTTTTGTTAGATTGATTTCACATCTTTCTTTTTCATACATTATCACACTATTTATTATATTTGATAATTTTATTTTTCTTGTCTGTTTTCTTATTTCATCTCTCTTAATGGGATGTTGAACAAACAATATATGTACTATTAATTATTCTATATATTGTACGAATAACATGAAATTATTTTTTCAAATAATTTGTTTAATATATTACACGATTATTTTTATAAATTTCTAAAAGTAAATATAATTATTAATTATAAATATTCTATTATATTAATTATTAAAAAATTATAATTTTTTTACATTTCAAAAGTTAACTCATAAAAAGGATGTTATTTCTAAGACATTTAAGAAATTAGAGTTTAATTCATTCTCAAAAATTAACTCATAAAATAAAGGCTGTACTAACTCTTATAAAGAGTATTTTATCTTTATTTTAACTAACGTAGAACATCTTAACATTAATTAAAATTAATATTAAATTTTAAAAAAACATTTAATATAGAAAAAAATTAATGTTCATAAATTATGATTTATTACTTTTAGTTTACTTAGGTTAGAGCATTCTTGTTCTCAACTTATTACATGTTTAATTGATTTATTTTATTAAGTGTTTGTTTTTACTTTAAAAATTAATTTTTAAAACTTAAACTGAACTAAATATGATAATAATATTTAACAAGTAGGGCATGCTTGTTTGGCTGCTCCATACAAATGCTAAATACTCCCTCTATTTTTTTATCTTTGTCATTTTATTAATTTTATTTAATAAATAATTAAACTTTTTAATTTTTCCTTTAATACTTAAGGTTTTTTTTAAAAGAAAAAGGGTATTTTGATATAAAAAAAAAGATATGATAAGAAGTTAGTTATAACTTTTTATAAAATTTTAAATATTAATTATTTTCTTAATGTTTTGGAGATTTTTTTTTGAAATTTTTTTTAACTATTAATTTATTTTTAGAAAGCAATGGTTTGACAAAAGCTTCTAATTTTAGGGCCCTGCCCCAGGGGTTATGGACTTCGTCAATAGTGGGCGCCGTGCAAATTCTGCATGAATAATTGCATCCGATAAGCAAATCAACACAAAGACTGATTAATTTGTTTCAGTTAAATATAATTTTGGATTACGTTAAACTATAAAATTTTATTTATTTAAATTTGAATTTAAAATAAAAGTAAATTATGTTTGAAAATGTTGATTATAAAGTAAATTTATATGAAATTTTTTGTGAAATTCCCAATTCGATACGAAAGTAAAATAAGAATTACTTTGGTTAGAGTTATGCTTGATCATGTTTTCCTACTTAAAATATAGGTAAAAATACCTGAAATCCCGTTCAGAAGTTCCAAATGTGTGTTTATGCATTGCAAATGCAAAACCAAACACAATTAGGGGCTTGAAGATTTCGATAGAATTTATTTTAAAAGGACTGAGATTAAAAAACATTGTTTTATGCTTGAGAATAATATTTTAAAAGTGAGTATACAAAATTTTTGTTTGTTTGGATAATAAATTAAAATGACTTAAAAAGCATAAATATAGATGTGTTTTGTGAGTCCCAAACCCATAATAAATTATTATCAATGGAAAAATAAATATAGATGCATAGCACAAAATCAATTTTAGATTTACAAATTTTAACAAAACACAATGCAATACTCACAGACTCCCATTTTGTTCCTGTAAACGGGATTCTAAAAATCCTTAGATGTGTGTTGCAGTACGACATTTGGTTAGAAATGACTTTTCATTATGAGTCTTTTATTGATGTAAAAAGTAGAGAGAAATTTTTTAAAAAATATTAAAAGAGATTTTTTTTATTAATTAAATTTTTAAAAATTTGATTTTTAACTAAATTTAGTAATATCGTGTGATTCATATTAACTTTACCTAATAAAATAAGAGTTATTGTTGTTGTAGATTTTTACTGATTTAATGAAAATATTAGTTAAACAATATATTAGTATATTTGAAAATATTTATTTTGCGATTAATGAATATTAACTATTATATATAATTATATGAATTTATCGGGATAGATAAAATTTTACACCTCATCGTAAATATGTTCATGACTTAAGATACATGATTGTGACATTTTATACAATTACTCAATTCTTATAAAATCTTGAGAAATGAGAAAGGAAAATTCTTATTTTTATGATGTACATGTGTATGTTTATTAATTAGATAAAATTTTACAATAAAAATTAATTTAAACAATTAAATTTTTTTAACAAACTGAATGTAAATAATTAAAATTACAAAAAATAAAAATTTCATATAATTGAAGTGGAAGGACTGAAAAATGCAACTATATTTTAAGAAAAATTATATTCCTAAAGATTGTTACTAATACACTTGTGAATTTTAATGCAACTCAACCATGTTTTTTTAATAAAAATTTTATGTTTATTGGTGGATTTTGTTATCTAATATATTAAAAGTATTGATTAAAGAATAAAAAAAAATATGCTGAAGAAATATGAAATTTCATGATAATAATATTTTTCAGTCAAAAATTTATTCTTTTAATTCTTTATGTTAACCTTACTAACTAATAAGATATTAAGTAAAAAAACTTAATAATGCACAATTTTATTTGAAATAAAATAAAAAAACGTTAAAAATTATAAGAATATATATTAATAAAAAATTTCACTTTTAATTTTTATTATTAACTTACAAAACTTGTTTTGCCCCAATACATGTACAGAGTCAGTAGGTACGTGCATTTAATTTACTTTTCTATTGATAGTAAACTCAATTAATTCACTTTCAACAACCACCAAATATTGGCCCTTCATCAAATTATGAAAATCGTTTTTTCTTGGTACTTGTTCTTCTTCGTTGTGTTTCTACAACCTCTCATTCTCAATAGTAGGATATTAACTAAATTTCTAGTTTAAAATAGAATAAATTGTCCCTTGCCCTTAACTTTATGTTAATACAAAACAAAAAATAACTATGTGACTATAAAGTTCTAAAACTTGGCAGGTTTTATATTCATAACTTGTTGTAGAAAGAAAGCTGAGTGAGGAGGTTCTATCTATTGCCACACCAACTTTGATACTATTTCATTCAGCTGTTCATCAAATAAATGGTATGTATATATTCCGATTCAATTTCTCTGCATCTTTTCTGGGCCTCCATGAAATTTTTATGCATTCATTCATGTTTTTCTAAAGTCTTGGCTATCCTCCGCCCTTTAAGAACTACAAAAATAAAACTATGATGTTGTTATATTGATTCTCTTCTCTTTTTCTATCAAATTATGGTTCATCATATTTCATTTATAAGTTCCTTTTACATTTACGTACAACAAAAAGAAACGTTGCAGGCCAATTGACCAACAATGGAAGGTGGTGGTGACTCCCCACACTTGGTCGCTGGATAGATTTTGCCACCAAATCCAATACATGTCCCTTAATATTAATGGGTTGTGTGTTTAAGTCTATATATCTTTGTATTCAGTTTTCATGTCCCCCTCTATAGTTGCCAATGATTTACCCCTATGGGCATTAACACCCTCTTAATCACTACTAATTAAAGGGTGTATCCACGTAAGTTTTATCATGAACGTGTTCATGTAATGCTTCACCACATGGCTTGGTTTAATCATAATTGATGATATCTAGAATAAGTTCAGAGGCTTTTAATGTAATAAGCTTATTCAAAGTTTTAATGTGATAGCCAAAAAACATGCTGCTAAGATTCTCAGCAATCCTTATAGGTTTCACTATGATTTTTACTGTTATATGCAAAGTCACTATATAATACTATAAATATTGGATCCATGTTCAAGAACTGACAAATTTTACCCCAGTCTTACTTTGAAATTTAAGATTTATATTATTCATATTTCATACAATATATTTTTACATCACATTTTTTCTCTTTAGTTTTCTATTGCATTAATCATCTTGTTTCTTACTTACTTTCGCTCTCATTTCTCCCTGTCTATTTTATTTTATTTTTGTCACCGTACAATATCCCACTGTTTACTGTAGTTGTTGGACTTATTTTTCTCATGATCGAATAATCTGGAATTGCATATAAGGCGATGAATATGTGTGATGAAATTATAGATCCTAACGCTCGTAAATTCATGCCCCACTTTGAAATGAAAGTGGGACATGAATTCAATGTTTCTTAATATCTTTTTTTTTATTTTAATTTGGTTTATTACTTCTCTTTCAATATTTTTATCCTTTTTGGGTATTGTTTTTAATATATTTATATAATGTAAATTTGATTTTTCATTTTAAAATCTAAGATAATTCCTACGTAATCTTTTCTCATGTGATTGCACATTTTCAAAATTTTGACGTGTAGTTTTAAAATTTTATATTAAATTAATATATTTTTATTAATTATTCATTTAAATAAAAATTTTACTTTATTGAAGTTTTAATCATTAGTCAATTATTTCAACTAACAATGGAAATGATGACATACTTGTAGATTATTAATAAATAAAATTTAGTGCAATTGCGTGCTTTCAGTGCAATAATCGTTTTATGTTTTTGAAAATGGAAATAGGAACTGAGAATTGAGTTGATGTTACTTTAAAGTTGCATGATATATGAATTTGTGGCCCCATGCACCTGGACAGTTTAGTTATTGTCTTTTAAAATAAATAATTTTATCACAATAATCAATAAAATTACTTTTTTAAGATATATTATCTTTATTTTTATTTCTTTATTAAAAAATATAAAAACTACAATTTTAATCATTTAATAAACTTTATTATTAAATTTAATTATTTATTTATTATTTATTAATATTTTTACTTTAAAATTATTCAAATATTATGAATATTTATATATTTTATTAATATTTTGTAAAATATCTAAGAATACGTTTAGATAACTGTATATTTTAAGTACCTATTCCACAATTTTTTAAAATAATAATTCATATATTGAATTTAATAATAAATTTTATTAAAATAAACTAAAATTATACAAATTATAAATTATTTTTATAATTTGTTAAAAGCTGTTAAAAGCTCTGCAACTTATGAATTTTTCGATGACATTTCTATTTGCTTCATTGAGTGCTAGTGTGAGAAAGAGTCAAAGTGATAATTATTATTGGTATAATCTTTCAACCTTGTAGGTCATTGCATGACATGATTGTCCTTACTATGACTTTGACATGTAGGATCTAAACATGCTTTAATTGTCATATGATTGTTAATGTTGTTTTTACGTTCAGTTTCTTGGCATAATTATAATTTGTTTATGTGATTTATCAACAATATTTAATATTAATTCTTAAGATTAATTTTAAGTTAAATATAATATTTTTTATTAAAAAATATTTATTATATTTTATATAATAAATTATCTACATAAACTTTTTTATATTCATCGATAATGTGATTTGAATTGCAATTTTCTCTATCTTTACAGTGTACGCGAGTATATATTTACAGGCGCACATATATGTGTACATATGCGTGTATGTAATTAATATTAATTTAATTATTTAATTTAAATTTTTATAAATTTTTTATACTAATTGGTTATTTAAATATTCACATATCATTTTCTTATCTAACTATTCAAATAATATTTGATGATCAATATTTATTATTAATATTTTTTTTATAGTAATCAAGAGTTTACACCTAAATAGTTCTTTCTCTGTCGTGTGGATATGAATGTGTGAATTTTGCTAACATTCATTTACTTAAGATATATTTTAAGAAAATAAAAGTTATCCCTTAGTAATATTTTTTTTTTTAAAAAAAGTATGTTAAAACAACTGAGTATGCCTGCTTTTTTTTTTTAATTAAAATATGTTAGCAAGTTAGACCTTCGGTATATTTTTAAAAAGTAATTGTTTTTATTTGCTAAAAATATTTTTTCTAAAAAACATAAGTGGATGTAAATTAATAAACCCATATTCACACATATTTTTTTTTAACTTTTCTTATATTACACATGATAAAAAATTAATAAAAAATTAATTTTTATTAAAAGTTTGATATTTAACAACATCAAAACATTGAATTAAACTCTATAATCTTTAATAAAATATATATATATATATATATATATATATTATAGATAGTGGAAATTAAGTAATTTAAAGACATAGAATAAAACACTATATTCATTTTGATATGTATATAAATTTTAAATAAATTATACATCTATAAAAATGTAATTTTAGAATTAATATTCATTCATATTTAAAAATATAAAGTAGACATTAAAATAAATTAGTCTAACAAATTATTAATTATAGCCAGTACCAAATTTACTATGATGATATTTTTAATAACTTTTCAATGAAAATGAGTTTTATTAATCGATAGCAAATTTTACACAATATAAAAATCTATAAAACGTAATTCAGTAGTAGCAATTTACTTATATTTTAAATAATATATCATCTATTAAAATACAGTGAAATGATGAATTATTTATTAGCATTTAAACTATGAGAAATCTGTAGAATTAGTTTACTTTATAAAAACTTAAAATTAAACCATGGAAGTAAAAGTGTTTTTCAAACCCGTCAAAGATATAAATAAAGTTTATGGATCTTTTCATTTTTATAATCCTTTCATAATTTCTGAAGATTAATTGCTAAACATGTCATAGTCATAGATGCTTCTAATTGTAAAATTTGGTGTAGGCGAAAAAAATTGTGCTCTCAAAACCATTGACACTTGAAAGCCAATCAGATTCCGACAAGAACTATGAAGCTTCAAACATTCTGCAGCGCATACTAAGTCTCTTTAAGAATGTGCGGCGAGGATCTGAACTCTCTTGCTTCAAGGCAAGTTTATATTTTACATTAATTGAAATTAATTTTTTAATAGGTTCATTTATAGGATTAATTGTATATAAAAATGCTAAATACCATTTTTTACTATATTTGTCATAGTCATGATAAAAAATTAATAAATAATAATTTGTTATTGAAAATTATAATATTTTTTTACTATGTATAAAATTTTTTTAGTGTGTTATTAAGTATATATTAAAAATTGATATAAATAATACACTTTTTCAATACATTTTAAATTATTAATTTATTTTTAAAAAATCAAATTATTTATTTTATAAATTAAAATTTTAAAATTACTTTATTTTTTAAAAACTTACTTATAAAATATGTATTGATACTTTTTAGTTGTTGAAATTCCATAGCTGCCACCTGTGTTCAACATGCCAAAGTCACAACTTCAGTGCTATGCGGAATCCGTATATTGCACATCATTAGACTTGCTGAAAAACATTAACAGTGGGAAGACAGCACTAGATAGACTCATATCAGTTGCAGCATGGAACATTTCTACCACACGCCCTCCAAGGTTTGGAGTTGCTCCCTATAATCCAACTCTTGGTGAGACTCATCATGTTTCCAAATACAACCTTAACGTCTTACTCGAGCAGGTCATGTTTCTCCATTCTCACTTTGGCCCCAAAATGCTTAAATACTTGATCATGTGGTCACCATATATACCCTTTTTTCTATTTTAAAGATAATTGGCTTTGCATGCATGTTTTGTTTACAGATTTCACACCACCCTCCAGTATCAGCCCTCCATGCCACTGATGACAAAGAAAACATAGAAATGATATGGTGCCACTTTCCTGTTCCAAAATTCACTGGTATAATAATGCTTCAGCATATCATATATATGTTGGTTGATAAAATAAAATCAATTTCTAGCATTCTACTTTTTGTAACATGTACTTAATAGCAAATTGAATAATATATATGGATATTCTAACATTCTGTCACGTTAAAACTTTGAATTGTATTTAAATTTGTGTGTGTATTATAAAACCAAAAAATGTGCAGGTACATCAGTAGAAACTAAGGTGCACGGCAAACGGCAGCTGAAGCTACACAATCATGGGGAGACATACGAAATGAATTCTCCTAATCTTATCATCAGAATTCTTCCACTTCCTGGAACTGATTGGGTTGGCAATGTCAGTATCCGGTGCCTAGAAACAGGACTTGTGGCAGAATTAAGTTATATAAGCCAATCTTTCTTTGGATTCGGGGGAAATCGAAGACTGATTAAAGGGAAGATCTTCGATTCTTTGTCCATGAAAATTCTGTGCAAAATTGAAGGTCATTGGGATAGGTATCTCACTTTTGAAGTTTTATTAATTACCCATGTGTCATTTGAATAAAGCGATATATTTACGTTAGTAATGTATATTAAATTTTAGATAAATTAAACATTTGTAAATATATATTTTTATAATTAATGTTTATTTATTAAAATAAATTTTTTTAATGAACTATGAATTAGTTCTTGATTTGTATAGACTGAATTTATTTAGGATTTTGTTAACTTCAACCTCTTAGAGTTAAGTTTAAATATTTATAAATAAAAAAAATTTATAAAAAATATACAGTTATTATAGAAAAATTATAAAAATACAATAAATATTTCTCTTTTTAATAAAATTTTATTATTATTAGTTGCTTATTTTCAACCTTAAAAGCTGAAATTAACAAAATTTTTAATTTAATTAGATTGACAATATTAACAAGAGTTACTCTTAAATTAACTTGATACAGCCCCTCTTTATATATATATATATATATATATATATATATATATATTAAGAAGAAGAATTTGTTAATTGTTTCCTTATAATATTTTGATGGCATGTTCCTAATCCCATATAATGCAATGCTGCAGTACTGTAACAGTGAAGAATACAACTAATGCAGAAGAAGAAAGAGTGATATATGATGCTAAACAAGTTATTTCAGGGCTCCAAGCTCCTGTTGTCAAGGATCCAGAGGTAATAAACATATACTTCACTTGCTAATGTTAGTTTCATCTCCATCTTTTTTAAAACCCTTGTCTTCCTTTATGAAGTAAAGCATCAAAATGCTTTTTCTTAGTAATTCAAGTACACAAACATTTTTTTCATAATTCTAACCTTCATTAACAAAAGCACTTTCATTAACAAAAGCACTTTTTTTGTTAATTTTTTATGATGAAATGAGAATACTCTCTTCTCTTATTGTTATTATCTCACACTCGTAATTGTCTAATGGTACAACAGTTATATAAATTTAATGAGATTAGAGTAAAAACTTCTTTTGAACACATAAAATTTATATAATTATAATTATTTAATAATGTTAATCCATAAATTAATATAAATATTAATATTAATGTTAGAAAATCTAACATGTTCATATCTTACTGAGTTTGATACGATATTATGTTGTACATTATCAGAGTGTGTGGCCAACAGAGACAGCTCTTGTTTGGGGTGAGTTGAGCCAAGCAATTATGAGCAAAGATTGGGAAAAAGCAAAAGAAGTAAAGAAGAATGTGGAGGAAAGACAGAGGGAACTCCAAAGAGAAAGAGAGTCGAAAGGGGAAACTTGGGTTCCTAAACACTTCACGGTGTCTTATAGTAAAGAAGAGGGCTGGAACTGTTCTCCAATTCGAAAGAGGGTCCCAAACAGTCCTATTGTCGCTTTGTAATTTGCTACCTCTTTGTATGTCACAAGAATGATTCCATATTGTTAGCACTTTCTCTGTGTTTCAAAACTCATAAAAGGGAGTCTGATATTATCAAATCAAAGTATGTAGCTAAATCAATCTACTAGTTACAATTTACAAAGAGCTACAAGTGTCTATTTGATCTACAGTTGAGTAGAATTGATTTAAATAAAATTGATTTTAAACTGTTAAAAGCCTGTTCATAGGAGTTTAAACCGTTAAAGTTGAGTAGAATTGGAGTTTAAAAACTTTTCAAAGCAATTTCTACGAGAGGCAAAATTTATCAATTGTAGAGAAACTGAGTTTCACATGTAATATAAATAAGCTCTAAATATGACTCAGATGGATCCATAAATTAATTGAACTGCATATTTTTATATTGAAATGGGTGTTTTATTAAAATTTGCGAAATTAATTTTTATAATTATAAAACAAACAAGGTCAAAGTCAACCACGTGTTGATTGTGAATTCTAGCCATGAACTCGTGATTCATTAGCAGGAAAAGAATCATCGAACCATCGAAGATGTTTTCCAGAAAAGAAATACACGTGAAACACCAATTTATCTCTCATTGAATTTGTGATAAAAAGAAGAAGAAGAAGAAGCAGTTGCTTCTGGAATACAACTTTGGCTACCAAACTCCAACTGTTTCATGAATTCAATCCTTTCCCTTCATAACCAAATAATCATTCATTAGTTGTTAAAATAAACTGTAAAAAAAAAGAAAAAGAAGAATTCTTTGTTGTTGTAACTCGTGTTTCCTACTTAAAAAATTTAAAAATTCACATTGTAACCCAGAAATTACAAAACTTTTCTTTTTATGTTTAAGGGATATCAAAATGGGTTCTTCCACTTCATCAGGCGAAAAGTTTGTTATAAAACGGTTTAATACTGCTTTGCCTAGTTTAGAAAATGAGTTAGATTTTTTACTTTAGTCCCTTAAAAGGTAGGCTAGTAGGTATATAAAAAAAAAAATTGATAAGTCATTAGGTTACTAAGTTTGTCTACCTAAAATCGACATAAAAATAGAAAAAATTACAAAAAAAAAAAATTATATTAACAAAAATCAATATTTAGTAAATAAATAATTATTTTTAATTTTTAAAAATTTAAAATGAACCTAATGAATCAACTTATCTTGACGTGCACTTTGGCAAGCCAAATAGTTATAAAATATTAACTCAACCCATCATTACGGATATGTCAAGGATCAAACTTTTAATATATCTAAAAAATTTCATGAAAATAAAAAAAAACTAAGAATTAATCAAACTTAAAACACTTCAAGACATTTGTTTAACTTTTAATAAAGTGAATACGAAATCTACAATTTCCATTACTTAATAATTAGTCACATGTTATTAAAGACTTTCATGATTACAACTTAAAAGAATCAAATACATGAAGTGGTCCACTTTGGATAAATTTTAAAAAAAGTAATTTATAAAATAAATTTTATTTATTTTTAATACTAATTTATTTCTCTTGTAAACAAGTTTATCCAAAGTGCCCTATAAATACTTAATCCCTTCGTAAGATTGAATGAAGTTTCATGAAACTAAAACAACTATTTAGTTGCCTCCATCCAAGACCCTCCAAACACCAACATTTTTATCCGACTCACTTCTCCTTTTGAGTGGCCTCTCTTTGATGCTGTCGAAGATTGGTTTCCATGGCTGCACTCTACAAGGGCTTCCACCTCCATTCATCATACTCATACCAAATTGCTCTACCATCCCAACTCTACCGGCCCTCCTTGAGGTGAGCCTCTTTGGAAGGCTAGCTAGATCCACTGGAGAAACATCAGCTTGAAGCATTGAGCATGGTAGCATGAAATGCGCTTGCCCAGGTTGAAGGTGGGTATCTCCATTAAGTGACTCTGAGGAAGAGGAAAGAAGCATAGTGGAGGAGGAAAGGAAGTGTTTTGGGGCAATAACTTGGCTTGCTGAAATGGGTTGCTCAAAATCCTCAACAGAACCATTGTAATGAACCACACAGACATTCTTGAAGGTGTAGCTTGAGTTGTAAGAGAAACAAGCTCCCATGTCTCAACTCTCTAGGTATTACGCTAAATGAAAGACAGGTAGTGAACATTGATGCCTAGCTATGGTCCTTTATTTATTAGTGTCAATGTTAGTGTTCGTGTGTGTGTAAGCAATATGCCACTCGGGTTTGACTATTGATAGGTTCATTGGTAAATGGATAAGTGTGTGGTAATCAAGCCTTTTGGAAACGAAATTGATGGATATCTAAGCTGTGTTTTTTTCTTACCAAGCTGTTTGTGTTATTAATCAACTAGCATCATTCATTGAAACGAAGGCACGAATGCTTGATTAAATCTGCCACAGGCACAAGTCTCATGCAGGCAATAATGATATGTTCGTATGGTTCTGCATTAACAATAGAGTTTAAAGTATAATCAGAAAGCTTATTCCACTATTTTCAAAAACCAAAATTTCTAACCTAACCATGAGAAATGTGAAACAAATACCATGGTCCCCATGGCCCTATTCAGTTACTTTGGCGTGCCGTTTTACTTTGTTAAGATGACGGAAGCGTTGAAGTACCAAAGTCAAACCATTCAATGGGAATCCTTTCCAGCACCTCTCTCTCTACTCTTTAGGCTCTACCAATCTCATCTTTCAATAATTGTTCAATTTAAGAAATAATTTAGCCAATCTTGCAGTGCCATTAATCAATTTCATTGAAAATTTAAGTGCATATATCATCATTGATCAATCTCACAATATTATATTCATCAATGTAAACATAAAATTAATCATTTATTGCTTTGTTGGCTTGATCTATGTGCATATGCGCCACTAGGTATAAATAGAGGATCTGATTAACCGGTATCTAAAGAATATTAATTAAGGAATAAAATTTATATTAAATCATGAATCACTTTTAAATTAACCTGCCTCTATAGTACGTGCGAGCGTATGCTTCATTAATTTAACTTAACATTTTATTATCTTAATTTATTAAATTTTAAAGATAAACATGTTACTCACATTACTTTGGATAGACATTAATTAATGGTATTTAGTTACACGTTTACATAATGATGAATTTATATTTATTTTAATGTTATTAAATATTATAACTTTTGTGATTCACATTTAAAATTTTGTTGATATATTTTCAGACACACAGTACATTTATTTTTTGCTTTTCAATGTGTTTCGATCTGGCCAGTGTGGCATGGTCGGCAACATTGAGTTGATTACTCGGGTATCCAATTTTAGCATACGTGTGATGAAGACCTAAATAAGTATGAAATTAGCAAACTGCTATTTCGTTTTGGTTCGTAGTTTCTTTTGTCTTTATGATTGGTTTTTTTTTTTTCCTCAAGCCTTCATTTTGTGCCAAGGTCACAGGTAATAGAAAATATAATTTTAAATCACATTTTGACGTAAAAAGTTATAATTATAGCATTAAAAATAATCAATTTCTTCTGTACCATTTTAAAATCTTCAAAGCCCGGCTCTCTCTTTAAAAATACCCATTTACCCAATAGATTGATCTTGGTTCACATGATCTTAGATTCGATTAGAGGGGTTTCCGATATGCATGTCATAGAAAATGATTTTACATTAAAAATGGAGTTTTATTGTTTTTTAAAAAGTAGTTTCAAAATATGAGTACATGAAATCGATGCCAAAAAACATAAAGATAGATTATATATGCAATATATGATTATTTAATGTTAGAATAATGAGATTATCTCTTTTAAAATTAAAAATACTTTGGGCATTAAAGTTAAGCCATAATTATTTTATATCCTCGTATGAAAATGAATCAAATGGGGAGATTTCCACACTCAAAATTTTCATTGCGGGCTTCTGAGAAATTTTTTATGTTTTCCTAAAATACATTCCAAACAATTTTCTCAATGTTTAATAAAGACAATATAACATGAAAAAGGGTAAGTTTAATATATTAAAAATAAACAAATATTTAATATTTTATTTTATAGTTGAGAACATTATTTTAAAAACATTTTAAGACAATTTAAAATTTAATTTTTATAATGTATGCTTACATACACACAATAAAAAACTATACAAAAAGTTTTGGGATCTACTGAGCTACCACTTGCCAGTTGCCACTGATTCCATCAATAATGTACATAAATGGTTGCGTGAATGTTGGATCATCTTTCTCGTTGAAGTCTAAATTTGTCGTCCATCGACCTCATTTGGTGCAAGAAGAACATGCACATGTTTTACAAAATAATATATTTTTTAAATACACTCTTCATTGTTAATAATTTTACATGGATGCTACTCTCTATTTACTAAAATTCACTTTCATTTTACTATTTTTAACAAATTTCAATCAATCACAAAAAACACATTCTTGATATTTTTTTAAACCAAAATTATACTGAATTTCTCTTTTTCTTATCCAACACATACCTCTCTCAATCTATATAATAATATAATACTATATAGTATTTCCGTTAATACTAAACACTTTGGTTTCTTATATTATTGTATAAATTAAAGGATAACCATGTAATGTAAAAAGGAAAAAAAGAAAAACATCATGTATAATTTTATTAAAACTCGAGGAACCAGTATAATTTATCCCAAAATAAACGTATCAATAAAATTAATTTCTTAAATATATCTCACGTATTTGAAATAGTAAATAAATAAATCCTATGTTAAGTGTGTTTAGTAATGGAATTAGGCAAGCTTTTAACTTATTTGACTAACTTAAAAACTTGTTTAATTATACTTGATCTATTCGGAAAATAGTTTATTTTAATGCCTTGTAACATTTTTTGAAAGGTTAATTCATGTATCGTCTCTTTTTTATTTCCAAATTTATTCTCTTTGTTTTATTGTTATTATTCTCCTTCCCTTTTTATTTTACAAACCTCTAGACATTCACTCTACCACTTTTTTTTATTTTTATAATATAAATCCATTTATGACATGTTATTTCATTTGAGAGGACATTTAAAAAAAAATCATTCTAATTTTCTAGATGAAAAATTATGCTAAATAAAATAAAATATAAAAAATGAATAGTTTTTTTGAAAAAAAAAAATAATTACTAAATTTCAAGATAAAGTTAAGTAATTAAATATATCATTATCTGTTATTTTATACTTGTATATAGTTTAACATCTAATTTATCAAACACTTTTAACTCAAACACCTCTTTTATTAGAATTTATAACTTCCAATTTTTTCTAACTTTAAAATTTGTATTTAATATATTAAATTTGTATTTAATATATTAAATTTGTATTTAATATATCAATTGTCTCTAGTTTAAATGTTAGAAATAACGTTATATTAATATCTGATTGAGAGAGAATCTTGTCGCTTTTATGAATTATATTTTCTCCATCTGGTTTTATATATTCATTCAAAACTCAAACAATAACTTTCCATTCCAAATCCGATAAGGTTTACAGAAAAATTAATAAATATCCCGTTTGTTGTACTATCTATAAATTCAGTTAAAATTGAAAACTGCTGACTATTAGAGATGTGTGATTTATTCAGTAAAATTCAAAATATAAGTAAAGTATTTAATATCTTAAAAATCATTCATAAATATTTTTTTAAAAATAATTCAAACAACTGTGAATAAAAACGTATAATTTTTATTTAACAAATAAAACAAGTTGTTTATTAAAAAACATATATCAGTAGATTTCAGCTTAGCTTACACCTCGCAAATAGTGGTGAGTATATATTACGAATCACATCTGATTTATCTTTTTTTTTCTCTTTTGATTTGAAGGTCAAATGAAAAGAATTCTTTTTTTTCAGTAGATAGATACAAATAAACAAACAGAAGAAGTATTGGGTTTGACAAAAATAAAAGAGTGGACTCAATGTTCTGATTGGGCCAGACACGAATACAGAAAAACAAGGTCCAGTACCAGCCGATTTACCAAAAAGAAGAAATGATTCTCAAATTAAGAAAATGGGAGTTTATATTATAGCAATAAACTATATATGTCAACATAATTATAAATGGTGGTGTTGATTGAACTCCATCGATAATATACAGAGTTAAGATTAAAAATTTAAATCGTAAAATTATATATAAATAGTTAAGAATTTAAAAAAGTAAAGTTAATTATATCATCACTTTGAAAAGATATAATTTTATATAAGTCATGTGACTTCTTAAAAATTTTAATTTTGGTCACTTATAATAAAATTTAATAATTGAGATTTATTCTTTAATTTTTACATTAAAAAACCATTCTCATTTATACATTATATATAATTTGATTTTTTATAAAATAAATCAATTTTAAAAACTATACATTATTTAATAAATATAAATTAATTTTTATCGCCTCACTATATTTTAATGATGATATAATGTTTAAAAAATAAATCAATAGTTACAATTAAATTATATGTCTAAAAATATGTAAATTGTGTAAAATATATATATATATATATATATATATATAATATTTATTTAAAAAATAAGTGCAGCACACTCTCGTTTATTAGTTAAAATTTATTTAAAATATATAACATTATGAATGAAACTAACATAATTTTGTATTTTTAATAAATAATAAAAGTTTGTTATAAAATATGTTGCTAACCTTTATCTCTTTAAAATATTATCACATTAATCAATAGTTAAACTGATAAAATTATATTTGAATATGTTGTCATTGAATCTGTCATTTGATACCAACGCTGTGTGTTCCTTTTAATGTATTATTTTAAACATATTATTTGTTATTGACTAAAATTTATTTAAAAATTATAAAAATAAATTTTTTTATTAAATGAAAAAAATTATTTTTTATATTTTTAATTAATAATGATAAAAATCATATGTTAAATAATGTATTTTTATTTATTCTCTTATATGTATTTACTAAAAGTTAATATTAATTTTATTAACTATGATCCAACCTACTGTTGTCACACTTATCATTGATTTCATAGTCATTCTTACATTATATTTTTTATTTTCTAGTTATTCATCATTTTTCTTCTACCTGTTTTTTTTTTTTTTTTTCATCTTCTTTCTACTTTTAAGACCACCTTATATGTTTCTTTTTCTCTCATATTCATCACCACCACCCTTTTATATCCCTTCCAATGTTTACTTTATACTTTATTCCTAAACCATAAGTGACTAAATTTCTCAAGTATTCTAATTACATTATGTTTGTTTATTGTTATTTATTGTAGTGGTGAAGCAAGTCTTAGAAGAGTCGTAAAGGAAGAGAAATATGTTTTTGACAGAGGTACTAACATTCAGAAGGAAGAGAGACAAAATTCCAAATAATTAATTCTTCTTACATCATTTATTGTATGCTGTTTTAATTTCACAGGATGTTAAATTTTTAAGATAAATTCTTTTACATTAATTTAACTTTTATACAAGATTAAAATAATGACTATTTTATCAATAAAAATTAGTCTAAGTGTTAAGTAGTTCAGTATTGTTTAAAAAATAATGACTATTTGAATTTTTATATATATAAAAAAATAATTAATAATAGACTCACTTATCACGTTTAGGTGTAAGACTCGGCTCAAATTTAGATTAAATAGGATAAAAAATTATTTTTTAAAACAATTAATTTAATAATAAATTAAAATTTTGACAAAATAATTTAATAACAAAAAATTAAAACTTGATGAAATTGAAGGGGTTAATAATATTAACCGATTATTAACCCCTTTCGTGCTGGTTTCATACCGTTTAGATTAAAACTTTACATTAAAAAATAACAAAAATAATTTTCAGTAAGATGACAAATTCGTATCGCATGATCTTAAATTTGATTGGCTATTTCCTATTCAATAACATTTTATTTTCCTTCTGTTCATAAACGCTTGTCCTGATTGATTATTTTTTATTTCATAAACTTTTGATGCCTAAAGGTCTCGTACTGTTTAGTAAATGCTTAAAAAACAATAGATGAGAATATAGCGATCCGTCGTTAATTAATTAAAAGATTAAGTTAAAAACTGATTTGTTTTGTTAGTCTTCGTCAATTAATTCTCACACGCTTTTTAATTGACTCGTTGATGTAATGATTTAGACACACAGTTACCTCGTTCTTGAATTTCAAAAGAGTATGAGGAACACGTTAAATAGCTTTAGTAATGAACGACGACTTTGAAATTGGCTATATTATTTTTCATATTTTCTATTTGTGCTTTAATTACCGATATTTTTATTATTTTTATTCAAATCTTTTGACAAATAAAAATATTATAACAAATTTATAATTAAGAAAAAAAAATTGATACTAAAGAACCTTTTAGAAGATTGATTTACAAAACATTTTCACGTATGACCATTGTAAAATATATCAAACAAAATTAATATGCAAAAAGTTACAGGAAAAGTACTTGATATTTTGAGCGATATTTTCTATATAATTGTAAAAATGTCATTTAATGTTAAAGAAAAAAATATTTATAAATACATTGTTACTGTATGTTTTCTAACATTCTTATAAATACTACACGAATGTTTTGGTATTCTGGAGTCAACATTTTAAAGAAAAGTTCACTAAACTGTTACCTAACTCTAAAAATTACTTTCATAGCTTTATTTGTGAGGATATTCAATCAAAGAACAAAGATATCATATTTACATTTAAATTATTATGAGTGTAAAGTTTCGCACAACACAATAAAACGTTACAATAAAGTGTACTAATTTTTAAATCATGTGAACAGGGATGCTTACATAATACATTAACGAAGTTTTACATAAAAAAATTTTAATATTTAAATTATAAGATAACCATGCACGTCATATGAGATAAAACTTTATATACAAATAATCAGTATATAGATTAACTAATATTTCTATTAATTTTAATATATTATATATATTATTTTCCAAACCTCACAGCAGAAGTAAAAAGAAAAAGAATTTTAGATTTTAGAAATTACACCCTCCATTAACTTTTTATCATTATTATTTTGCCACCCCTGCCCTATGCCTAAAACCGATTTCATGCTTACAAAACAAAGAAAAACATTGACTTGTGAAAATCGTACCAAAATGCAGTTGGTAATACTAAATTGCTTATAAATCAATTTAGTATTGAAGAATCTAAGAGAATTTTAAAACAAGCATAGTTGAATGATAGAAGGTGCATGAAACATTTAGGAAATGTTTAGGAGGAGAGTTTTTAAAGAAGAAAAAAAGAGAGAACATATATTTTAAATTAAAATTAAAAAATTATATATTATGTATAATAATAAATATATTAAATTTATATTAATTTATTTTTTTACATTAAAAATATAAATTTTAAATATATTTGTTTAAAATATAAATTTTGGCATGTTTTCCTTTCCCATACAACTGCTAACTAGGGATGCTTCTTTCTGGGGTGCTACGTACTCATTCCTCCTCCCAACCTTTCGCCCTCCAAAAAGTCATTTTGCACGCAATACACTTTGGAGTCCCTAGGTAAGTTGAGTGTCCTTGTTATTATTGTAGTTATATGATTAAATTAAATGACACTGCTTTTATAAATTTTATTAAGGATATTTTTTAATTTTATTGTTGGATTTAAAATTTTAACGAAGCATGATAGATTCAAAACATTTTATACAATTCAAAAGTTATTTGTTATTTATTATCTAATTTTATTTAAAATACAAATAAATAACTATTATTTATAAATGTTTAAATTATATAAAATCTTATGTACATAATTATAGTAATAATAATATACGGTTGACTCAATAAAAATTGACTTTTAAAACAAATTTAACAGAGGTCCCATTTTAAAAAGTTTAATATTGTACTATCTTATTTTTAATTATTATTATTAAAGATTTTGTTGACCAATTGAAAGGGATGTTTGGATATAATTTTTTTTCACAATTTTTTATGATTAAAATGAAAGAAAAATAAAAATGATGATGTTTTTTTTTTATATTTTAATAAAGATAATTTGAAGAAAAAGAGTAAAGCATTAAATACAAAAAATAATAAATTTCTTTTATCAACTAACCACTATAATAATATTAGATTTTTAATATAAGTATTTTAATAAAACTATTTATTTTACTATAATAATTAATAAAAATAATTATTTTATTAAGATATATATCATTAATAAGTGATATTTAATATAAGATTAAAGAAATATTCAAACTTTTGGTTTTAGACTTTTATTTCATTTAAAGTCATAAAAAAAAAAAGAATAGTCAGAATGCATACAAATCTAAAGTTCCTTTGGACACGAAAGCCCCGCGAACAGCGTGCGTGAATTCTCAACTTTAAAAGGACAAATATAATATATATCTTCTCTTTCTTTTGACTCCTTCAACGGATCAATGAGGGGAAAAAGTAACAACAACGACTCTCCTACTTTGAATAACCCTGTTTTTCATTTTTATATTTGATTTTCTAGAAACATATTAAGTACGCATGCTTTTTTATAGTTATGGATATTTAAAATTAATATATTGATTATCTAATTTTGTTGATTTTTTGTTTTATTTTTATTTCATTTCAACCTTCTAATTTTTTAATGTTTTATTTCAGTATTTTAATTTTCAAACATCAATTAAATAGGTTATTTTCTTGTCAAGTATGTTTTACTACACCAATTAAGTGAGATATGATAATAATAATACAGCAAAAATTAAGAAACAAATGTAAAAAAAATAGTAATTAATTTAGTTGAATAGCTAATAATAAAAATTACAGAATATGTTAATAAATTAATAAAAAATTTCTAATTTAACTTATAATTTTTAGCTTAAATTTTAATAAACGTAATTGTATTTAATATTTTTTTGTTTTACTTTTTATAATAAATTTTCTTGATTCAAATAAAACTATTTTCAGTAGAATATAGATGTAATTGACTAAACTAAAAAAAAAATAAAAGATCAAACAAAATTTTAATAAAGAACTAAATTTAAATAAAATAAATCAAATATCAAAATAATAAATTTATCTTATAAAAATTTACACAAATATCTTATATTTATCAAATATATTGTAAGTTAAAATTCAAAATGCTGTTTAATTGACAATTTTTTTAGATGAAATTTCAAAGTTAGAAAACTTTACCTGAATATCACTTCGAGTTAGATGGGAATTTTTATTTTTTTTTCTGAAATGGCAACACTGATTTTTATTTAATTGATGGGTTTACTTTATGAAGGGAAAGTGTGGGATCAATTAGAAAACCATGTAAGAAAATCTTTGTGATTTTAAAAATGACAATGAGAATTTGTAATTATAACTGTTAATGTGATTTAAACTGAGAATAAATATATTAAAAGAGTAAGAAGAGAAAAAAAAAAAGGGAAGAAAAGGCAAAAGGGGAGGAGGAACCAATGGAATGGCCGGCTGCAATTGCAATGGTAAACAAAACGACTCTTTCTGTTTCTGTTTGTTCCGCATACGAACACACTCAATTATTCTATTCTTTTAAATTAAATTAAATAAAATAAAAAAGGTTTCCCTTTCTTTCTATAATCCTAATTCCTAGTTCCGAATTCCGAATTCCGAATTCCGAATCCCAAATCCCAAATCCCAAATCCCATCCAACACACACACACACACACACACACACACTCTTCACTCTTGTGATTCTTGGCTGTGCCCTACCCTAAGGTTGCATCTTTCCCTTCTAATCATTCTTTTTCTTCGCTTCACCGTAACCGTTTCAGGTACTGTATCTCATTACTCTCTCTTCCTCATATATATAGAGAGAGGGACTTTTTTTATTTGAAATTATCGTCGCTTAATTGTTGGGGAATTAGGGATTAAGCAAGTAGAAACGACACACCAGGAGTTTTTTTTTTTAAATGTCCAAATTAGGTGAGATTGTTTAGTGTCTTGCAAGATTTTTCAAACTGGGGTTTCGATTTCTCTTTGATTTTTACCCAACGGTGGTTGAGTTGATAGGATTAAATTCACCACTCTTTGATTTCGATAATTGATTGATGTTGTTCTTGCTGTTGGGAATTGGGATACTCCTAAACCTTCATTGATTGCCACCTGTCATTGTATTGTTAATTAATTGCTCGAGTTTTGTGCATTTTATCTTAAAATTCTTCTTTATTCTTGAATGTTGCCATTTATTAAGGGTTGATGGATATTGTGTTGGGGTCCTTGTGTGATGTTTTGTTTGTCTGTCTCTTATTAAGATCATGGGGGTTGTTATTCATTTGATAGGTATGGATTTCTGTGTGAAGTTCAGTGGTTGAAGAAGGTTGACTTGTTTGCTAATGCACTTGCTTTTCTGTGTTTTCGTTTTCAGATTTTTCTGCCTCAGTTTGTCCAAGGTTCATTGTAGCCTATCTGTTCTTTGTTTTTGTGTGTTCGAGGGATGGTGCATGTGGATGAGAAGGAGACTAGTTGGAGGTGAAAACTTGATGCATTTGCTTAGATGAAGACAGCAAAAGTTTGGCGTCTAGGCATGGGAGATATGCAGATACTGTCTGGGCCACGCCACCGTCCTCACATGAAGAAGCCTATGTGGATTATTATCTTGGTGTTGTTTGTATGCGTCTTTCTGATCTGTGCGTATATCTACCCACCGCAGAGCAGGTCAGCCTGCTATGTCTTCTCTTCTAGAGGATGCAAGGGTTTTGTTAATTGGCTACCACCTATACCTGCAAGAGAATATACTGATGAGGAGATTGCGTCACGTGTTGTGATTAAGGATATTTTGAACTCACCACCAATTGTTTCCAAAAGTTCAAAAATTGCCTTCATGTTTTTGTCACCTGGTTCTTTGCCGTTTGAAAAACTGTGGGACAAGTTTTTCCAAGTAAGAATTTGTTACTTGTCTGATTTAATATGTTCAATCTATTATTTCTCAATTCTCACTTTGGAATGTTCCTCATCAAAATATATGTGACACTTGTTTTTATCTCAGAGAAGATAGGCAGTTTAATAGTGTAGTTGATATCCTGAATTTCTTTTATCGCCAAGAAAAATGGTTTGTTGCTTGCTCAAATGACACTAAGAATTCCTCTATATTGGAACACCTCTTTTTGTCTACGATGATTCTTTTATTAGAAGTTTTTGGTAAATGAAGCATAAAATTGTAGGGACTTGGGAGACTTTGAGAATTCCATTCCTTTGTCAGATAACTGAATTGGAATGTTTAACAAAAAGGAGTTGCTTATTGCACCCTTGGCTTGCACAGATGCTTTACATAAAGCTGTTAGTGGTCTCTATTGCTTCTGGGGAAGGATGCGGGAAGGGAACTTTTGCTTGATTAAAATAATTCAAATAGTCTGATTTTGATTCAGTATTTTGAAAGAAATAGTTAACATGTTAGATAATTGTGGTTCTTCCTACATAACTTACACTCCTCTTCCCCTGTTGTATGAGAAGTGTTTTTAGACACAGTTGTGACAGTGATGTCTTTTTACAGCTTTGGGCACTTACCGGAGTTTCCTCAAACTAAAGTGCTCTTTAATGCTTATTAGTGTTTGGCCCTTAAAATTTCTGTTGGTATAGACATACAATACAACACAAGATGCAAAATATGTTTTACTGATAAACTTCTCATATATGTGTTGTTATGAATAAATATCCTTAGCTTGTTTTTGTAATTTCATTGGTTAGTGCTTGTTTGTCTGTGCTTGAGTCCTGTTCTTGTGGTCTGCATTTACCTAGAATATGCTCTCCTCTTTTTTGGCAGGGTCATGAAGGGAAGTTCTCTGTTTATGTGCATGCATCCAAGACTAAACCAGTTCATGTGAGCCGTTATTTTGTTAATCAGGATATACGCAGTGATCAGGTACATATATTCACTGTTGTTATTGTTAATTTTACTATCAGTTGTGAATTTTACTTGTCTTAAATATATGTTATCTTATGCAATATGCAAATCATATTTTGATGGTCCATATTGTATCAGTTTTTTTTTTTTTAAAGAAAAAATGGTTTTACTTAAAATATGCATTTAAAATTTTTTTCAATAATTATTTAATTTTTTTATAAATATCAAAAACCTTAAAAAAAAACTATTTTAGTGTTTTTTCAATAATTATGTAATTAAAATACGCATTTAAAAAGTTGTATGCCATCATGGAATCACTCGTTTTTATTTTAATTCTTAAACAAACAGGTCCTGAATGTATTTGACTTAATGTTTTATCTCGTGTTGAACTCACTACTTTTGATGGTAGGAAAATAGAATATTATTGTTGACTTGAGAGATTAACTGATATATTAACTATTTACTGCATGCTTTGGTCAGACATTTTATTTAATCCAGAGCAGAAAAGCAAACACTAGTAAGAACATGCCAGATCATATGACATGTTGGTATTTTGCACTGGTATCCTAAAATAATAGTACTTAAAATTCTATTGCACTCTTTCCTTGTTAAATATGTGATTAAAGTATATTTTGTTTTCTTCAAGTGAACTAAACTAAGAAATCAATAAGTCCAGTTTGGGTTTGTGCTCTGTGTGAATTTAATTTTATTTAGCATGCTTTAGGAATTTTTAATCTTCTTGTATTTTTTTTTTGGGGAAATAATTCTGAATGTATTTATTAAGTTCAACTGTTTTTGTTCTAATAATAGCGGTAATGATAGCAAGTGTAGTTATCTGTTGTTTACCTATATAATCTGTGGTTTTCTAGTAAGCTGTTCTTTTAATTGGAAGTCTTGTTACAGGTTGTGTGGGGGAAAATTTCTATGGTTGATGCAGAGAGACGGCTATTGGCAAATGCCCTTCAAGATCCTGACAACCAGCAATTTGTTTTATTGTCTGATAGGTAAATTAGTTTTGAGATTGCTTTTAATTCCGATCTTGCTGATTAATAAGTTTTATAGTTTTTATCAATTTCTGATTGTTTATATTGGTTTTACAGCTGTGTGCCTCTGTATCATTTTGACTATATTTATAACTATCTGATGAATACGAATATCAGCTTTGTAGACTGGTAAGTCCAGCAGAATTTCACTCATGTCACTCTATGCTTTTATGGGGACAATAGCTCTTCTTCTTTCGTCTATCTATTTGATGTCCTTTATTAATGCAAACTTTTCCTTTTCTAGCTTTAAGGATCCTGGTCCTCATGGCAATGGGAGGTATTCAGATCGCATGTTACCAGAAGTTGAGGTGAAGGACTTTAGAAAGGGTGCACAGGTATATTCTTGCTAAAAAAAGCCACGTTGGAGCTAGGAATTCATCATTTTCAATAGTAACCAACTAACCATGCTTATTTAATACAATGAATCTACAATTTGAACAAACTGTTTAGGCTACTTTATTTTACAATCACCCTTTTCACTGGATACCAACTAGATAAACAAAAGTTGCCATTTTTCCATAACCTTGTGTGATTCATGTCAATAGGCTATGCAAGCATGTCAATTGCAACTCTAGGCAGAATTGAGTCATTTGTCACAAGTCTGTGATGACATTGTCAATAACAAGAATAATACTGTGATCATGCGTGAAATTTCTCACTCTTATATCTTTTGGTCACCCAATCAACATCTTACTGTCATTCAATATCACCACACTCCTATTCCTTTCAAGTGTTTTGTCCTCTCATAGTCTAATGCTTGGCAACTCAGAAAGTTTATATATGTAACCCATTTATATGTCACTGCCTCATTGTTTAACCTGTTCTGCAGTGGTTTTCTTTGAAACGGCAGCATGCAATTATAGTCATGGCTGATAGTCTGTACTACTCAAAATTTCGGGCTTACTGCCAGGTGAAGTTGCTTTTAAATTGCATTATCATTAATATTCAAAACATTTTTTTAATACTTTAATCAATTCTCCATAAGTATTTTGTGTTGAATTCAACCATATTTAGTTCTGCGTTAACTTTTTCTAGTGATCAAGCCAAGCATGTTTAATGTTTCATTTTATGAGGTTCAAGATACTTGTCTTGCATATTCTTACTGAAAATATTTTCAAGCAATATATGGATGCTGCATATTATTACTTGTATTTTTATTTTTTTCTTGAATATATTTTCTCCAAAATATGTATTTTCTGAAAACTTTATGCAAGATGTTATGGAAAATTGTTGGCTTTGTACAATCCTCTCTTTTTTTTCCCCTTGAAAAAAGAAAAGCTTCAGTGCATTGCCCAGCTATGCTACCCTTTCTGGTACAGGTATGGGGTGCCACAAAATATTCTAACATTCGCAATGTGTGGAATGCAAAAGTGTCATCACCTTCAATATTGTTGATCTTATCTTGTATGCCAGTGTTGCTTATTCTATGTGATTAAGTTCACTGAGTAATCTATGCTCCAATAATTTAGAATTTCAAATCCCATATTTGTGCTGATGTGCAAACTGGAAGAAAAACCTTATTGTCCCAGGGAGCACACAGATGATGTGCAAATGATCTATATCTAGTCATGTTGTGTGCTAGTGTTGTTGCTTACTTGATTAAGGCGATTGGACTATCTAGTTGCTCATAATAATGTAAAATTTTAAATCCTCAATATGTTCTGCTGTCCAAACTAGAAGTGAAACACCTTATTGTCCTAGGCAACACAGAGCTGATGTGAAAATTATCTATATCTAGTGATTTCCATGGAACTACAAATTCAATATTGATGTGAAATTTCTTATTACAGCCTGGTTTGGAGGGCAGGAATTGCATTGCCGATGAGCATTACTTGCCGACCTTCTTCCAGGTGAGAGTTTAAATTGTAATACATTTCTTTTGTTTTAACAATTTTCAATCTTCAGCTAATTAGCTTATGACTCTGGATTAGATGGTTGATCCTGGTGGAATTGCAAACTGGTCAGTCACTCATGTTGACTGGTCTGAGAGAAAATGGCATCCAAAATCATATAGGGCTCAGGATGTCACTTATGAGCTTTTAAAGAATATAACGGTATGGTTCTGCTAAAACTAACTTTTACAATTCATATTAATTCTTTTTGGCAATCTATTATGTAGAGGAGATGGGTACGTGGCCTTGCTGAGGGTAAAACCCTCAGCATCATCATTACATTCCAGTCTTAAGCTGTTGGGATATCCAATGATGAGTGGAACAGAATGGAATAAGATGGGATAAGAATGAATGTAGTTAAACTATATACCAATCTGTAGATATTTTCTGATGAAATGGATGTTTCCATTTCATTTTTTGGATGATCACCGAGTAGATTGATAAGGAGATTAGTAAAATAACAATTTGGTTTCATTCTACAATCTCAAATTAGGGAAAAAGAAAAGCATTATTGGATGAAATCTATTCCATCCTAATTTACACAATCGATGTAATGACAACTAATGTCATTTGACCCATTTCCATCAATCCAAAATAGCACAAGACTCTGAGACTGGTGCCAATTGAGTTCGAAGCTTGTTGGCAATCCATATGCATTCTTGGTATTAGAAGTACCTGTGATACTAGTAAATTAAAAAAAAAAAAAACAATTTTGCATGAGGTATGAGTATGACAGTTTTCTCTTTCTAAATCTAAAAATTGAATGAATATTTGAAAGTGGGTGGGATGGTTTGTAGCCTTTGGTTAATTTGTATTGTCAATTCTTATCTCTCTCTCTCATCTAGTTATAGTAAAACTGAAACACAACATTATATACTTTTAGGAAAAGTAAAATACCAATCAAGTGGGGGAACCCCCCTGGCCACAATTGTCTTATTATTGTTGTTGTTGAACTTCAGTAAGTTTACTGCAACTTTTTTGTCAACTTAGTGTTGCCTTTTTTATTTGTTGTCAAGTTTAGTGCACGGATATTCATGATGATTGTTATTTTTGCAGTCCATTGATGTTAGTGTACATGTCACCAGTGATGAGAAGGTATGTATACGAGAGCTTTACTGATCTGATTTATTGAGATTGAGTTAACCAGCTTGACAAATTTTCTTATGTTTCCACAGAAAGAAGTGCAACGTTGGCCTTGCTTATGGAATGGGGTTCAGAAGCCATGTTACCTATTTGCTAGGAAATTCACTCCTGAAACACTGAATAATTTGTTGCATGTACTTTCTAATTATTCAAAACCTTAAGCCAGCTGTTTTGATCGATTCTTTGGTCGGATAAGTTGTTGCTTTCGGCCCCCATATTGGTTTCTCATATGGCATGAGATGAGATTTGTAAATTGCAGCGTTATTATTGAGGCTTGATCGCCTGCCAGCCGCAGATATTGATTGTAAGGTGACCTGGCAGAGTTCAGGTGGCCTAACGTGGACAGGAGAGGAGGCTAACGATTTAGAGTTCCTTCCTTGGAGATGGATGGATGACTTATTTTTTTCCTTCCATTTCGGGTTATCTAAGTTTTGTATTTTACATGATAGATGATAGATTCTGGGAGAACTATATTAGCTCATCTTATGGTTGTTGATCTTTGTACAACTTGCAAATTGTTTAGTTGAAAATACAACTTGTTACTGTATCCATTCAGAAATTCATTGGCCAATTCTTATGTGTATCTCTTTGATGCTATGTTGCTGGCATCTTGTCCGTATTCTTTTCCTGGCTGTAAGTCTCTTCAGTATCGATTCATTTATGAATTAAGAATTTGAATTTTAACATGAGGATGTATAATTTGAATCTTGTAGTCATATTTAGTTGAAGTATTGGTTCTGCTGAAACAGATGATAATAATTTCTGGCGAGGTTTGCAAAGATTAAACTTGAATGATGTGATAATTTGCAATAGAAAATTTATTTTAAAATAATTTTACCCATCTTTTGATTAAACAGTCACTTACTCTCAATAATGAACCTATTTGAAACCATGCAGAATGTATGATAGCTGGGCTTGCATAACTTAGCAGAAACCCAAATTACAAGAGAAAGCAACAATACAAGCACCCTAATGATCTTGGACTCTCTCTCCCCAAGCCGCATTAACCATTAGTATACAGGAGATTTAAACATGTCATGTTTATTGTTGCTCTTCGCACCTCTAAAACTAACCTCCAAATGCTTGGCATGACATTAGAATAGATATGATGTCGAATATCATGTCTAGTTATATTCATCATATCTTTTAAGGGTGGAGAGTACATCTCTGCTCCACAACCCTGAACTCCTATTCAAGTCTTCGATCTTTGTTGTAGAGTAAAATTTTTTCCTATTCCTGTTTCTCGAGTCCCCCCAAATACTTGCAGGGATCCCCAAAGTTATGTCATTTCTTTTTTTAAAAATTACGAAAAACAATATATAAAGGCAACTTATGCATTACAATTGATTTTATTTTGTTTATTGTAATTTTTTAATATGTTTTAAATTTAATATATTATTAAATAAATCAAAATAATTAATAACAGTACTATATATATATATATATATATGAGGCGGAAAAGGTAATCCCCATTTATGAGAGTAATTTTAGTCCCCATCCCCACCTTGGCAGGGAAAAAATCCTTGAATCTAGCTATCCGAATTGGGTAATTCCTTCGAGGATCTCCAATTTTTAGATTCCACAATAACCATTGCCATGCCTCTACGAGAAAATTTTATTAGGTAATTCAAAACTATATAGTCCTCACTACTCATATTGCATCGTATGTCGATTTTTTTTTTATTTATTAGAAAAAATGCTTACCTAAGCGAATGTGCGTATGGTCCCAAAAACACACAAATTTTTCTCCTCTACAAAGGGGATTAGGGACATCACGTGGCACCTTCCAAAGATAGGCCACTCTACAAGGATACTACATCTTCAAATAAATTAATATTTATTAATCGCTACCTATTTATTTAAATTAAAAAATACGATTTTATTGACGTTAGTATTTAAAGTTAATTTTAAGCATTCAAAATTAGTAAATTTTATTAAAATATCTATATTATATTATAAATAATGGTCTATATGGATGATACTTCTTTTTGGAATGTAATCAACTAAGTTTGAAATTTTGATTTCATACGCCTAACACAACAGATTACTATGCAAAATAGCACTGATATTCAACGTCGTGGCTTAATCATCAATTAGCATAATACTTCATAGCAGGAAGCCGTGTTGAATAGATATACCAGCATTACGTTTCACATCAAACTACAAGATACCTTTATTCCAGCATCTGATATTAAATTTCATAGTTGAACACTTGCTGAAAACCTTTTCGAAATATTTAATGTAACGTTAAATATAGTTTAAACATATGTATGTTTGGTACGCATGCATGTGTATACAATTATGTAAATACACAATTTATCATATATGTCTGTGTTGTGTCAAGTAATTCATGCCCTGATGTTCTGGCTTTTGGCTAGTCGTGTATGATTTGACCCTTTCCAGTAAAATTGAGTAGAAATTCTCAGTATCACGATGTTAATCAGAATATCACATAACCTAACGGCGTACGTTGAATTATCATGAATTGAATCTTATAGGCAAGTTTAGATCTTAGGAAAATCTTAATAATCTGCAAGAGGGTTTGAAACCCCCCAGAACAATGCATTACTCATGACATTCTGGATGAGTAAATTATACGTGACATTTTGATTTCATTTACATTAAGCCATTTAGGAAATCAGCAACATGAAATTCTATGATAATTAATCCCTATATGATAGCACTGTTCAAAAATCAATTTATTTAGTTCATGCATCATTATACATTATTAGCTCAGTAAATATGATATGATACTTAAAGCTCTTTTCAAAGTCTCATATGAGAGTAAAGGGAGCAAATGTGAGACAAGATGGTCGCCAGCAACACCCACATAGGGGATCCTTGCTTTTCAGCATATGCCGGCAAGCCATCCTGGCTCAACTCTACTCTCCCTACCTTCATGCAAGACACTTGAGCAAATCATCACATTCAGCATCAACCACACTTAATTTCTATAACTCTCACATTTCACTTAGCCTTATAATCTTGAGCTTCATTGTGGCCAATTTATAAGCAGAGAAGGTCAAAGTATGGCATCCTTAAATTGTGATATTGATGGACACGTAATAAAATAAAAGGAAAAATAAGTAATTCCCTAAAATATTGTTGCAACTTGGAAACTATAAACTGGACCCGCATAGCTATGAACTTTTCCAAGCTGCTCCTTATCGAAAACCGTTCTTATTGGTTGGAATCATGCAAAAGTTGACTTAGTTCATTGTCTTCCCCGAAACTCTCTATCGATACATTTACTGTTGATGTGGGAATAGAATATAAAGAGGGAAGGCAGCTAGATAGTAATCGTGGTTACCACATATTTCTGACTTGGCATTTTCAAAGAGAATTTTTTCTTAAATTTAGCTGATCAGATGAGGTTCTGATTAGATTTTGACTTAATTGGTTTCCATATATCATCAGTATGGGCATAAAGGTTTTAACATTTTTAGAGAAATGTGTTTGAAAGGGAGTGTCCCTTTGTGTTTCTGAGTGTATTTTTAGGATGTATGTATACAAAAAAAAAAAAAAGTATGAGAAAGAAATATTTGTATATGGCATCACATACAGTATCAATTTTTAACAGTTAATACAATGGAAGTGATATTTCTATAATGCTAGATATTATGTATACGTGTCATTCTCATACACTGTATCAGTCTAAGCTACAATACAGATTCCCGAATACACAGCCAAAGCCTATTTAGCTTCTTAGCTTTTTAAGCCTCTAGGGAAGAATTTGTTTTTCCTTTTTCCAGGCTCTTCACATGTAACCTTTGTGATGCTCCTGACCTTCTGGTCTAATTGGAAGCTGTGATTACCGGATATCGAAGAGTTTGCATGTAACTTGTTTTTGTTTGTTGAGAATCCATTTTCGCATTTCAGAATCTCTTTTTGGGATGTAGTCAAAGAAAAAGGTTATCATTATTCAAATCGAATAAGTTTTTCTGTAAACAGGATTGGACAGCATTTTATGACTATAAGAAATTAATAGTTATGTGATATGGTGAATAGTTAGGGAGGTATAATGTTATTTTAAAAATACATTATCAAAATACCTTTTACAATAGGAGATATAGGAAGAAAAGGAGGCTAGTGAGATGAGTGACGTAGAGAGAGAAAAAAATGAGTTGTGAAAAAGGTGGTGTAAAATTTTTGAATGACAATAAAATTTACTATAACAAGCTACAAAGATACAAACTTTCACAATATAGAAAAGATTTAAAGATAAGTTTTGGCTAGTCTGACATCATTCTTATGAATATAAACCATCTTTTATTAGGACAACCTTTGCAATACGATAGGAAGTTTGTCTACAACAGAGTTGAAAGCATGAATTCATCGAGATCTACAAAATCAAAAGGAAGGCCAAATTATTGATGTCCCAAGATTACAAAGCACCATTCACGATTACATCCAATGAATCTCTGCTCATGAACTTTCATAATGGTCAAACAAAATATTAGAATGCCTATTTCCATAGAAATTGAAAATTCTCTGATAGATCATCCCATTACTGTACAATAAGATATTCCTCAAGGATTACTGGCAAAAGATAGTGCCTAGACTCTAAAACAAGTCTTTTCCAACCCAAGGAGAATGATACAAAGTCCAGAAAGGAGTGCAAAATTTTGGTGCCTCCTCCCCCAAGCATATAATCCTCAAGTTACATGCCTCCATGTGTAGCCACCATTTTTCATATCACATTCACCACCATTTTTTTTCTTATTTTTATATTATTTTAATTCCTTTCTCAGTCTATGTATAAGTCAAGCAATTGAGTTAGTTTCTTTCACAAGTTTATAGAGCTGTTCCTCTCTTTTCCTTTAATCTTTTGATCAGATATGTTTCAGTCCACTTCTCTATGATCGGGATTAAGACAACAGAAATGGATGGATGCCACTTACTTTGCGAGAATATATTCTTTGGCATGGGTTCCATGCGCATAATATATTCTTACGTATGCAAGGGAGAAGAAAGAGACTTCCTTTATACAAGATCAAGGTTGATAATTCATATCTATAGTCTCTTTATCTCTCTCTCTCACACACACAAAATGTTCTCCAGTTCATGTGAATTTGCGATTAATCCCACGCTTCATCTTAAGAATGCAACTATATATGATCCCTCTGTTCTCCCAAAATCCCCAAAATATACAATTTCTCTTTACTTACCCACATTATATAATTCAAATCAAACAATTAATCATTTGGTGAAATATGCAAAGTTTGAGGAAATAAACAGCGAATATATTCCAAACACCAAATTCACATACAGTGCAATTAATTGCAGAGATGCCATCATTGACTTTGAACATGATAAATTGATCACACAATATTAATTTGATCTCATCAATTCAATTCCTTCACTTCAAAAGCATATGCATGTCGATGATCTGGCCAACAACAAATTGACAATTCACCCCTATTGAGTCGCTGACCCTCTTTAGTCCTAATACTAATATTTATTTTATTTTTCGATCATTAATTAATCTTGTGGCCATATACTGGAAGTCTAAAACCATTTCCAGATTCAAATTGCTAGGTACCTGTATCGTATCAGGGAATGTTGTAGCATTGCGTGTGTGCATAAGATGATCAATGGGCTAGGGATACTCCTAACATATAATAATTACTTGAGTAGGAGAAAACAACAAACTAGATTTCTCTTAACACGCAATGACTACT